TATATTCCCCAGTTAACAGATTATGGAAGAACATAAGGGGAGTCAAAATCTAATTATGTATGAATTTTAATGAGTTTAATCCCAGCACTCAGGAGGCAGAGGCAGGTGGATCTCTGAGTAGGAGGCCAGCCTGATCGTTACTGGAAATACAATTCCAGGTCAGTCAGGGCTACATGATGTGACCCTGTCTCAAAAAAAAAAATTTTTTTTTTAATTAGCTAAGGTAATAGTTGGCAGATTGCTAGCTGTACATAGGAACCCAGAAATCCAAGACTTCTCACTTGAAAGCAAAACATCAGTTTGCAAAGCATGAAGTTCCTAACTCCTCTCTTCACCAAACACCTACCCTTTACACCATCTCTGGCCATAGCTGAAAGCTGACAATGACTTAAATCTTTAAGAAGTCTACTACTCAAAAAAACAGTTGAAATAACTGAGTGAAAAGCTTCTAGTATTTGTCAATTTTCACTGAAACAGTTCTATGATGATACAGCAAAGAAATGAGATAAAAGGAAATTGTTTCTTCTGCCCGCATCGAGCATATTTGAACAAGTGCAATTAATGATTACCCACCCTGATGAAAAGCGCAGTCCTTTCAGGACCGCTGCTCTGCAGCAGGGCTCCAACCACTGCAAAGAAAGTCTGATGCAATACAGGCAGAGGGACTGGAAATTCTGCACTGAGGGTCAACTGCTCTACAGCCAGGTTACTAGCCACGTGACACACGACTTGCTCACCAGTAAGAAAGTTAACCAGACTTTCAATGCCTTCAGGGGGCAAGTCTGGGAATTCATCTTCAAGGAACTGTGTGAGGCACGTATGTGAAAAAGATATCCCTTGTTCAAAGAGTTCTTGATTATCTTTGAGATTCAGAAGAACGGCTTCTTTCTCTATCCCAAGTTTCTGGCGTTTCGCCTCTTCACTTTTAATGTAGCAGCTATTAACAAATGCAGTTTTGAGAAGATCTAAGGAAAAGGTTTCTTGTAACCGATGTCCAAAAGCTTGTATTTCAGCATGGTAGTCCCAGTTCGGCTTCTCTGAACTGAAGATATAAAGACAGGAAGAGATGGTAAAGAGAACAGCCTGTTACAATGCACAATTGTGCTCTGATTTTATCAATTATATAAAGGACATTGAAAAAAGTTATGTCCCTTTTTAATGTCAGGGTCTGTCAGTTTAATACAAAAAATTAAATCAAGGAGCTGGAGAGATGGCTCAGTGGTTAACGCTGGCTGCTCTTGCCAAGGACCCGGGTTCAGTTCCCAGCACCCACAGTAGTCTGACTGTAGTTCCAGGGGATCTGATGCCCTCTTCTGGCCTCCATAGGCACTTCACACACAGTGTGCTTATATGCACGCAGGCAAAACACTCACACACATAAAATAAATGAAATAAAAGCATGTAGCTCAGAGGAAGGCTGGCAGTCCTTTGTTATATCTACATGGATGGTAGCCTTAATTTTCCCTTTGGCTTAGCTGTCTCATTAAGGTCATTGTTTAACATCAGATTAAGTCACTGTTCTAACTTTGATGTTCCCTATTTCTGCTCTACCTAGAAATTATGCTTTCCACCTAACTGTGAAGAAGTTATAACTACATGGATTCAGGCCAGAAACTATAAGCATGTATTTATGTTATAGTCTACTGGTTTAAATTCTGGAAATGTACATTTACGAGATCAACTATATTACCTAGTTTCAGTATATCACCTAGTTTCAAAAGTTCACGATCATGGGCTAGGCTGAGGATATAGTTCAGGGGTAGAGTGCTTGCCTAGCATACACAAGACACTGGTGTGTTAAGAGCACCACACACACATGTGTACACATTCCAAGAACTAAAATATCTTTTTCCTAATGAAAGGTAAAGCCAAAAAATAACCCTTCTGAGTAAAAAAAAAAAAAAAAAAAAGGGCAGAAAACCATAAAAACTAGGTTAAAAGTCATTAATTTATGTAATTCGTGCTTCTTCCAACGTTTAGGTCACAAAGCTTAAAATATCCAGCTGTGTAGTATGCAAAGAAATGTAAATTAAGATGTGACTCATTTCTGCCTATTCAGAAAGGACATAGTATGTGATAGAAGTCTTGTTCTCACCGGTACAAGTATGAACTGCCCCAATATTTTTCTGAGGGGCAATATTAAAGTAGTAATCAAAATTTCGTATTAAGTTCCCAAAGAAATAACTTCAGGCAGTCCCTGCTTCATTGGCTGTACTAGCAATATAATGGCGGGCCAAATGCCAGTAAGTGGAACCAGAAAAACGAATGAAATACATGTATGAGGATTGTTAGTCATGCTTTAACATGTCAAAGACACTGAGGAGAAAACACAAGATGGCTCAAGTACAAGGTCCTGGATGTATAGGGCCGATGACAGCCGACCCCAGTTCCAAAACGGTGACCCCAGTCGACCCCATTTTACTGTGAGACTCTTGAGGGGGCAGCCCGGCCTCCATCGCCCCGGGCCCGCGCCCTGTACCCGCCACCCGACTTCGGGCGGCGCCTACCGTCTCACGGGCGGCGGCGGGCAGCGCAGCAGGCGCCAGCGCTCCAGCTCCTTCTGGAAGCGGAGGGCGGCACGGAACCCCTTCTTTACTCCCCGAACCGGAGGAACCAGAGTTGGGGCGGCTGGAGCCAAGAGGCAACGAGGGCCCTGCTGGACCAACCGCACCAGCGCGGACGCCATAGCAGGACAGCAATGGAGTGCGGAAGGAAGCCAGGCGGGCCGGTGTAGCCGGAACACAGTTCCCCAGGAACTGCAGGGCGCGGGGAGGCCGGGACCGAGTGGACACCCAGGGGCGGGGAGGCTATGAGAGCATGCGCACGAGTCCATTGGGCGCTCTTAGGTAAGTACAATTTGGGTGGAGTGGGAGTGTAGAAATTACTGGAAGTTGCTTCACCCTGCTAGCTGCTCTTGTGTTTCTTATTTTCTCATTAAATTAAAATAAAAACTTGTTTTAATTTCAGTGTAAAGAAAAAAATTCTCACAAAGCATTTCTTGTTTACATTTAAAGTTCCAGAACATCAAGACAGCCACTAATGAGAAAGTATTTTCTAAGTTCATCGTTTCACTCCGCCCATCTCCAAAATATCTTGCTCCCAAAGGCCCTACATTCAGAAATGTGGTTTACTTAACCAAAGATAAATTGGTATTTTAAGGGAACTACGTTTTTATTTATTTTTATTTTATGTGTGAGTGTATTGCCTTCATGCGTGTAAGTGCACCCATGTCGTTCCGTGCACACGGAGGACAAATGAGGGAGTTGGATCCCCCGGAATTGGAATTATAGACAGCTTTTAGCCACCATAGGGGGCTGGGTTTCGAACCCAGATTATCTGCAAGAACAGCCAGTGCTCTTAACCGCTGAACCATATTTCCAGCACCCAAAACTAATTTTTTTTAAACACTGGGAGAAAGACTGGAAAATGCATCAGAATGTTAACAGTGAAATTATGAGTTGCTAAAAATAAACAAAACTGCTTTACCAGTGTCATGCAGCTTTCCCACAAAGGTTAATACAGTTTTTAGAAGCATTTAAGTCACAAAAGGAGGTGTGCCTGCTTTAGCTGCACATTGAGCATTTTGACTTAGAGTCATTTCTTTGTGTGGTCTCTATCTAAAGACAGTAGCGCCCCTGCAGTCACCCAAGTTAGACTCCTGTGTCATAATTGTCCCACCCGGTTTTCATAAACACTGGTGGTCCAGTTGTCAAATTCTTTTTCAATTTATTTCCACAGCAGGTATCTTTTTACCTTTCTCTGGCTATTGTAATTGGCCTCCAGGCAGGTCTTGTACCTCTCTTCCTGCTGTAGATGGGACCTCTTCCACGTTCCTCTCCCTTGAAATACTGTTTAAAAATACTGTTACTGTTTAGAAAGCGTTCAGTGCTAAAAAGGATTGTGTTGTCTGTTTGAGCTTCATAGCTGGATTCCTCAAGATGGAGAATCTGAATGACTCATTTCAGCCTGGAAAGGGGTTTACATGGCCAAGGAGAGAACAGAAGAGGTGTTAGGCACCTCAGAAAATGGCTATCTACCTGGTTGAAGCAAAGTCTCTAAGGATCAAAAGGGTGTTATGATTGGCCTTTGTATTACATTGTTTGTAAAGCATTGAAAATTGGTGGAGTATCAGATAAGTAGATTCAAAGCAATTAGAGGAAATTGTCATTTCTACAATCTTCTGTTTATTGAGAAAAATAACCTGAAGTTTGTAAATGTAGCATGCTCAATTAATATTGACTTAAAGTGAAGTTTATATTGACATGCTCCATAATACCACAATGAGAACATGATATGTGCATTTAAAAAGAGTAGCTTCTCAAGCAATTTCTCCTACTAATGTACCCATGGAGCTCAGAAATTAACTTCTGTATTAAGTTTTCTGTTATTCTAACTACTGCGATAATCACCTCAGAACCAGGAAAGGTTTGTTTCGTTCACAGTTTTGGAGGTTTCCATCCATGGTCAGACAGACCCATTGCTTTTGAGTCTGTGGTAAGACAGCATACCATGGCAGGAGGTGTATAGTGAAATAAAGCCCATTCACTATAGAGCTGGGAAATAAGAGAGAGTAAACTGAAGAGGAAAGGCCTGGGGACCCATCCCCACCAGGGCCCATCTCTAACGACTAGAGACTTCCCACCACAGCTCACCTCATGAAGGTTCCATCTTTCATTAGTGCCATTGACTAGGGATCAGACTTTAACTGTGTGGCCTTTGGGAGGATATTACAAATCCTGATATCACAAATTTGTTTTTAAAATTCGTTTTTCAACAGACATTCAGAACTAAGCCCAAAAATCTGGAAGGGAGAAAAAGCCCAACTGTTTTGGTTTTGTCCTTAAGATCTCTATTTAACTTGCTGTTAAATTTAATTTGATCAAAGCTTCACAAGTGTCAATAACTAGTCACATTTAGGAAGGAGAGAAGGTGAAGTGACGGGAGTTCACTTTAACCTTTGATGTTTTTACCCTTGGGACTTTGTTTACATGTTCCTTTAGTGGTGGTGTGGGCAGTTGGAACATAGTGCAGACAGAAAATTACAAAGTTGGTGAGGTCTCTAACAGGTTTGACTGCACAACAACAATCTGAACCATCTGAGGTTACACAAAACAATCCCATATGTTAGTTAAGGAATCAGTACAAAATAGTGGTCTTTATACCGTCTCATAAAGAAAACTGTAGATAAAAATTATTGCCATAAAATAAAACTTACTATAGTTAAAACTGATTAAAAACTGAGGTAAGAACTGATAAGGAATTAAGTCTTCTCCACCAAAGTTATACCTGTAAAATCTAGCTTTGAGAAATTTGACTCTGTAGATAAAATAGCCAAAAAAGGAAAACTAGTGATAGAAAAACTGGTTAGCAAAAGTCTTGGTAAACTGAGCAATGGATAAAATCTTAGTTTTGAAATAAATATAAGATCCATGAAAACACATACATAAGCAACATGAAAGTGAAAATGCCAAAACAGTCAGAAATAGGCTGTTGGGACTGGAGAGGTAGCTCAGCAGTAGAGAACATACTGCTCTTGCAGAGGACCTAAGTTGGGTTCCCAGTACCCACGTTGGGCAGCTCCAGGGCATTCAATGTGTCTGACCTCCAAAGTCACTTGCATTCATGTACATATACTCACATACAGACATAAACATGCATACAATTTTTAAAAACTTTAAAAAAGAAAAATAGGCCATATTATACAGAGAATTGATCAAGAAATTAAATTGGCTTAAAGTTTTTTTTTTACAAAAACTCTTTGTAATAATCCTGTCAATATTAATATGAATCTGTACAAACATTTTAACGCATAATTATGGATATCAAAATGTTGATGTGGCAGCAGCCATGGGAGAGAGGCCTTCTGCTAACAGCTGTGTGAGGGAGTCATGATGGAAGTGGATTCACCAGCACCGCTCAACAACTTGATTTTAACCTCATGAGAGATCCTGAGACAAAATCACCCAGCTATTCTGCTCCCCAACCCAGGGCCTTTAAGAGCTATGCTTTAAGACACTGTTTTGCAGTAATTTGTTACTCAAGGTCAAATCAAGGTGAAAATGGCAACATAAACATTCTGCATTCTAGAGATGTACTGAAAGGCTGGGTCTAGAGGAATACAGAGTATTTTGCTAAGTGTGGAAAAGATGTAAGGAAAAACAATACTGCAAAGCCTATACAAAGTCATGAGGCAAGAACTGTTACGACTCTGTAGAGCTGAAAGGAAAGCCTCCACTTTGCCCTGAACAACTTACTGGAATAAACTAATACAGGTGTTCAGCAGGAGAGAGAACACACAAACTATTATGTCCATAGAAGCAAATCACAAAGCGTGATTTCCCGATAGCCCAACATGACTCAGAAGCTTATGTACCCCTGTCATAGGGGAGAGGGAGTAGGAAATACACACACACCTTTAGGGAAATAGTAGTGATTTGTAGGGGAATATAAGGGACTTGGAGAAACAAAATGACACGAAGCAAAGTTTCTTGGGCACGGAAAGCCAACAATGGGTGGCAAGTGACCGTCTTTGGAATACTGAGTGATTCCAAAGAGTCAATGATGCATAATGAATGTCTGTCCAGGTGTGTCAGCAGACTTCAGTGTTTTCCTCAACAATCTGAGTTTAGCTAAAGCAAACTCAGTGGAGGGACCAAAGGTAATTATTTGCTTCCTTGAGATTCAGACTTGAGGCAGACTGGGAGATTTCAGAGTAGTTTCTCCCACCGTCCACTGTCGCCCCCACCCCCCAATAGTGTTGCAGAGTGGATTTGGGATGATAGTCCCTGGACCTCTTCAGCTTGTTCAGTTTCCCTCCACATAGTAGAATTTGTCCTGCTCTCTGGCCTTCATAGTTGCAGACTCTCCTGACTCTGGTATTAGAAATACTTGAGCAACAAACTTGAGAAATAGGGGATCTGGGGCCCAGTGTCTTCACTCTCTTGGTGATTCTGTTAAACTGAGCAATACTTGCCCTTGAGTGAGAAGAAAGACCTGTGTGGGGATAGGAATGTTAACACTAAGTGAAAACAGGTGGCGAGATACAAGTGGAGCGAGCAGACCACTCTGGCTACAATCTCAAAGCTTCCGGCTTCATTTTGTGCTGCTTCTGTTTTGTATAAATTAACATTGTAGAAGTGGTTTGAGCTTTTTGCAGAGTCATTGACGGACTGGCAGAACTGCTAAATGAGATCACTTGCCCTTTCCTCCCTGGGACAGAACCATGTCTTTGGTCTTCCAGTGAGTTCTAAGGAGATGAACTGACTCAGTAACAAGATATCGAGATTCTACTTTCAGTCACCACAGATTTAACATATTTTGAACAGATAAATGTCAGTTAGTATTTATAACAAATGCAGAAATATGCTGATATTAAATATTTCTTCTTGAGTAATTCACCAGATCATAGCTATTAAAATTACAAATTAAAGAATTGATGCTGTCTCGGGTACAGGAATGAGTTTGTTTTCTCTGTCAATTAAAGAATTAAAAGTCAGGAAAGAAGTGCTGTGGGAAGTCTTGGGGAGCCCCAACAGAGTCATCATAGGATGCCTGGGAAATGGGGGTTCCCTCTGGGGGTTCTTAGTCTCATTAATAAGAAAATTTAAGAATGGACACAAATGAAAGCCGAAGGACAGTTCATTAGAATTTAAAGGGAAAGGCCAGCACAGGCCAGTAGTGCCTGGAAGGGAGGAGGCTGGAAGAGAAGGAACCAAAGGCACGCTGTCCTAGAGGCGG